GTTATACCTGAAGTTTTATTGGTGCTTAAAGCGATTTTATGGTTTGAATGGGTGTTCTTTGTTATGAAAATCATGGTTTATTAGAGTGCATCTTCCTTGTTCCCCTGTTTTGAGTCTTTAAGCATGATGGCAAGCAGTAGGCTCTCAGGCCACCACCAAGCAGGATGTGTGCTCTCATGGCAGGCAGCAGCCCATGGCTTGGTTCTTGGGCTCTTCTTGTCACATTAGTTGTCATCATGGTGTCTGACTCATAGAATCATTATAATTGGAAAAGTCCACTAAGATTATCTAGTCCATGGCTATCCAGCCATGCCCAGTAACCAGAGAATCCCAGAACGGCCTGGGTTGCAAAGGCCCACAGCGCTCCTCCAGCCCCAACCCCTGCTGTGTGCAGGTCACCAACCAGCAGCCCAGGCTGCCCAGAGCCACATCCAGCCTGGCCTTGAATGCCTGCAGGGATGGGGCATCCACAGCCTCCTTGGGCAACCTGTGCCAGTGCCTCACTACCCTCTGGGGGGAAAACTTCCTCCTAAAACCATGTCCCTGTGAGTCTCTTCTAAGCACTAAACACCCTGAACAGTTGCATGTTGCTCTGACTTTGTGGCTTCTTCCTTTCTCCTCCTCACAGGGAAAAAGAAGTAAGTCTTGGTGAGATGTGCAGTGTATGTATGAAGGGCTGTTACACTGCCCTCTGTGTGAGGTGACAAATCTGGCTAAAGGCTGGTGGTGGTGTCACGCTGTGCACCCCTTTAAAACTGGATCACTTAATAGAGCAGTGCAAGGGCCAAGTGAAGGTAAGCTCTGGTTCCTTTGGATTTGGGGAAGATGATTCTGTTTGAACACATTAACATTATCGTGGAACCTTTAGTGTCTGATGAATGGTAGCCCAGCTGCTTGACCTGAAGTCCCTTAACTCTTGGAAAGGGGAGATGACAGCAGGACAAGGGGAAATGGTTTGGAGTTGAGGGAGGGCAGCTGGAGGTTGGATGTCAGGGGAAGTTGTGTGCTGTGAGAGTGGTGAGGTGCTGGAACAGCTGCCCAGAGAGGCTGTGATGCCCCGTCCATCCCTGGAGGTGTTCAAGGCCAGGTTGGATGGGGCCCTGGGCAGCCTGGGCTGCTGTGAAATGGGGAGGTTGGTGGCCCTGCATGGCACAGGGGGTTGGAGCTTCGTGATCCTTGAGGTCCCTTCCAACACAGGCCTTTCTATGGTAAGGTCTTCACACCTGACTTTGGTTTTCCAGGTGCCATCTTGCATTGTGGCAGGGCTGAGCACAGCTGTCTGCTGCCTTGTTTCCTCCATGCCTGGAGACGCAGAGTGCTTGGCTGAGTTCCTGCACCAGGCGTAGGATGCAGCCCTGGCGTGGGAGGCACTCTCGATTCTGTTGAGCAACATGCAGGTCTTGAACAGCTTGAGCCGGGCAGCCTGCTTTAGATGAATAGAAGTGAATAGTCCCTTTGGATGTTGAAAGCCTCCAAAAATAGTTATAAAGGCTCAGCTAAATTTAATACGGCTCTAATGTCAATGGAAGGATTAGAGCATTTGGGATTTGCACCAGTTAGCATAAAAAAAAATCCTCTTCCTCTCAGCTCTGCCCCTTCTGTGCCGGGGCAGCGGAGGCTGGCGCTGTTCGGTGCGGCGCTGAGCGGGCGGGAGCTGAAGCACAGCTGCCATCCGCGTTGTGTCGGGCCGGGGCTGTGGGCCGGGCGGGGTGAGAGAGAAGCAAAGGGAAGGGGAGGCTGTGGGCTGTGCTGCACTTCAACTGCAGCCCTTCGTTAATCCTGTCACAGGAGCTCCCGTTCTGCTTTCTAATTAAAATGTCTCCGTTTAAATTCCCGGTGAAGAATTAGCACCGTGTGCAGATAACACCGATCTCCGTGCTCATTTAGCAGGAAGGAGTGCCGTTTCAGTGGGCTGTTGCTAGCTGGGCTTGTGTGCCTTCCTCCAAGTCTGTGTGGGCCCAGCTGCCTTCAGCAGGAGCTGTGTCCTCAGGGTAGCACTCAGACTGCTAACCCTCCTGCCTTTGGGGAATGTTTGAACTAAGAACTAATTGTTGCAGGAAAGTCTTACTGGGGGGGGGGGGATTGGATTAACAGTTCTTTTCCATCTCTTAGAAATAGGGTAGGAGTTACTGATCTTAAGTTGGAGCTGAGGTGAAATCCTATGCTTTCTCTGGACCCTCCTAGAAAAACAATGCAGCTACATTGCTCTGGTTTTCCCCCAGTTTCTCTGTTCCTGCAGATTGCTGTTTTCAGGTTTGCAGTCAGGACTCAATAATACTTTTCGTTTATGGTGATTATATTTAAAGCTTGCATTTGTAACAGTTTGTTTGCTTTATTCTATTTTTACTCATGTTGTTTGTCATGGCAAGCAGTGTTTAATAATAATAATAAAAGTAAAGTTTCCTAGCAATTTGGAGAGTTATGGGCCTGTTTCTTGGTGTCCCAAGGGGATTCTTTTTAAAAACTCTTAGGACAGGAAAACGGTCACCAAGGAAATGCCTCCTTGCTTTCCATAAATACAGTGGGTAAGTCTATACATGCATGCTGATGTTTAAGCAGCTGGCCCATTGAAACACAGTAGGGGATGGTGAAAACCTCTCACGCTTGGTGTTTAGAGCTGTTGTTAATTACAAGCTGATGGACTCCTTGGTCACAGGAGAAGAAATTCTGGAATCACTGCTACTGGTGTGAAGTGATGCAGACCGTGCCTAAATTGTACAGCAGGAGTTGCATGGGAGGCCTGCAGGGTGCTGGTTTGCCTTGGGGTAATTGCTGCAGTTGTTGGGATGCTCTGCATGGTGTATTTTCTGAGTGGAAGTTTTAGGGTCAAAATTCAAATTCAGAAATAAAGCTGAGGAATACAGATTATTGAGATGGTCAGAGGGCTGGAGCAGCTCTGCTATGAGGAAAGGTTGAGGGAACTGGGCTTGTTTCTCTTGGAGAAGAGAAGGCTGTGGGGTGACCTCATGGTGGCCTTCCAGTACTTGAAGGGAGCAGATAAACAGGAGGGGGAACGGCTGTGTGTGAGGGTGGGTGGTGATGGGACAAGGGGAATGGTTTTAAAGTGAGACAGGAGAGATTTGGGTTGGATCTGAGGAGGAAGTTTTTCATGCAGAGGGTGGTGAGGCACTGGCACAGGTTGCCCAAGGAGGCTGTGGATGCCCCATCCCTGCAGGCATTCAAGGCCAGGCTGGATGTGGCTCTGGGCAGCCTGGGCTGCTGGTTGGCGACCTGCACTGTGGGCCTTTGCAACTCAGGCCATTCTGTGACACCCTTATGGCAATGTCTTCCCAGGTTTTTGTGATGGTACAAAGGGGGCCATGAGAGGAAATGTAACTTTCTCAGAAGGAGCTCTGATGTAAATGAGAGCAGCTTCCAGTGATTGTGTTATTGCTGCATGTAAGACAACTTTCAATTGTGTTGACTTTATATTAGGATCCAGCTCATGCAGTAAATGTGATTTAGGGTTAATTGGTTTAAGGGATTTGAAATGGAAATTCTTTTGGTCTAAAGTGATAGAGTAAGTAGAGGATTTGTTTGACAGGGGACTTGTGAAATGGCTGAGTACATTCAAAAAAGCCATAAGCCTCCACCAGCAACAACAGAGCACTTGATTCTTAAGGGGTTTGGTAGGTTTAAGGAAGGACACATAGTTACGACTTGTGTTATCCATGTCTAATGCTAGCCAGGGTGAAGGAGAATTCCTGCTTATGTCTGGCTGAAAGAAACTTGTCATGTGTTGTTTTGTTATGACAATTAATGCAGAGCTTTGGAAACAGGTCATAACTTCATGAATGCTCTAAGTAGATCAGATGCTGAAAAATGAAATCCTGGCCTTTGTTGTGACCTTTCTTGACATGGTACTTGAGGACATGGTTTCTGAGGGTGGGTTGGTGCTTGGACTAGGTTCTCTCAATGGTCTTTTCCAACCTTAATGATTCTTGCAGCTATGAAATGCATCAAGCCAGCTAACAGCGTAGTGGAATTAAGCCTTCAGTTTTCTCCTAGTTCCAGGCCACCAAACTTGCTTCAAGTGAACTGAGTTGTTGTGCCATGAACCTTCTCCAGTATCAGGTGTTGGGGGCCTGCTTCCACATGGGAAGCTGGGGCTGAAAGTGAGCAGCCCCAGGTGATGGTTGGGTTGTGGCTTTTGGCAGCAGTGCTGCTTTGTTTGCACACAGCTGGATGGTTGAGGAGCACCAGCACACACTGTTGATTCAAGCACTCTTGTCCTCACTGGTTGTCACTGGGCTCAGGATCATTGGTGCCTTGTTCTGTTGGGCATGTATGCCTCCTGGCAGGGAGATCTCTATTTCCATTGTCTCATGTTATTCAGTCCTAAGTTTTTTTTCTCTTCACCCTGCAAACTTTACCATATGATAGTCACTTCATGCAGATGTTCTTAGTTGTGCAGGATCCATCCGAAACAACAGAGGATTTAATAGCCAGGTTTGAAAGCCTGATGACTTGGAGGATCAGTCAGCACTTTGGGTGCATCTGAAGTACAGAAGGGGCATGTGTGTGAACGTGCACCTCCCAGCACCTCCAAGTCCTTAAAAAGAGATGCTCAGAAGGCATGCAGGACAGTGACCCTCATTAGAGAGTTTGCCTTGTGCCCAGAGCTCGCGTCCCCCTGAGAAATCTGCCTCTGCACTTGGCTGATGGAAAGGAACAACCTTTCTTTTTACTTAAAGGCTTTGGCAGAACGAGACTGGCACACTGCAAGAGTGTTTATTGCCTTGCCAACTCAGGTGGAACTTTGATGCCTGTATATGAAGAATCACCTGCTGTATTTTATTCTTATTTCCCTGTTACTATCTCAGATGCTTACAGGCCAAAACTTGATTGTCGCAACTCAAAATTCTGTTCTGTTTAGCTGCTTGCTGTTGTGGTTTTGCTCAATTTCTACTTTGTAATGTTTTTATGTACTTTATAATGCAAACACAATAATATTTCTCCTGCAGAAGGAAAAAAGCTGTTTGGCAAGGCCGCCAAAACCTCAAGCTTTGCCCCTGCCGGTTCTGTGTCAGTTCCTCCTCATCACTAGAAAGCCCAGTGAGTCTTAATTCACACTGGGATTCCTGCAGCTTCTGAGCATTGGTTTGTATTGCCTTTATCCTCTGCAGCCTGCTGTGTAAGGTTGCTTTTCAGTCCCCCTCAACTGAGTGGGCTCCTCCAGCACAGTGCTTGCACATGGGGCAGAAGGCCGCTACCCAGAGTACCCATAAAATGTCCTTGCTGCCTCTCAAGCCCCTTCACCAGCTGCAGGCCGCTTGCTGCTGGGAGTCAGAGCCCGTCCTCACTGGCGAGTTTCTCACCTGAGATAAGCTGAGAGCGGCTGTGCTCCGGTCAGACTGAGCTGGCAAAAATGCTGGTGTGTATCTGAGAGCTGAGGAGCCTGTCCTCAGGGTGACTCCGTGGAAGAGATCATTAGCCTGAGGTTTCCTATTACTCCTACTTCCCTAAAGCACTGCATCCTTTTTGTTTTAAACCCCTCCCTCGTAAATTAAACATAAGGAATGCAGGGCTCAGAAACCGTTCTGATGTTAGCTGTGACTTCTGGTGCCCGGAGAAGGAGTGCAGCTCAGATCCTGTGACCTCCTGTGCAGCCCATTATACGTGCTGTGAGTGCTGCAGCTCAGTGTTCAGCAGGTATGTGGCGGTGTACCTCTGGGAAAGGTCCTGTGCTGTTCCAGTGTGAGCTCATGGCTTGGCCTCCGTGATCTCTGCGGGTGCCTTCCAACCCTGCTGCTCAGTTACAGGCTGTGCAATTGGCTCCATCGCACGCTGTGAGAGCAGAACACAAGTGGCCTCAGCTCTGAGCTGGCTTTCGAGTAGGACCCCGGTGTGTTTCCGTGCGGACTTCAGCAGAGCTGATTTCTGGCACTTGTGTAACGTGCGGTGGAGAAGGATGTGCTCGGTCATCGGATGTCGCTTCTGAGCTGCAGCAGGAGTGGGGTTCGGTGAAAGCCACAGGCATGGCAAATCAGCTCTGTCATCATTGAGATCGAGCCTAAATAAAGTGTAGAGCTGAATTTTGGACAGCGGTTCCGCAAAATGTAATTGAAGCAATATTTACAACTATTAATAGAGAACAGCAAGTATGCAGTACGGGAAGGGCAAATCTGAAACAGATGAGCACGCTGTGTTTGTGTCATTGCAACTCCTGCTAGGAGCAGTCAATGGCTCCATGTTGTTATTGCAAGAAACATCAATACAAGGGAAATAATTATTCTTCTGCATTGCCTCCAGTCAGCTGGTTAGAGAGCTCTGGAGGGGTTGCAGCTGTAGCTGTTTAATACACCTCTACTAGGACTGTCTGTGGCAGCCACAATAAATAGCAGCATTTATAGCAGTGATTTCTTGAACGTTTCCTTTCTCTCCCCCTTGGCTGTTAAGAGGTTTATTCTTGCATCAGTGGTGAGGACGTTGCTCGATGGCCTGTTCCTTCCGTGTCCTTAGAATGGTCTTCCTGTCTGTACTGTGATGGATTTGGGAGTAAGGGCTCCAAAGTCAGCAGGGTTTTCCTAAAAGGTGGTGAGAATTATCACATGGCTCATCCTTTCCCTTTGCTTACCTCGTTGTTTGCTTCCTAGTGACATCAACGTGCAAAGAAAGGAATTGCTAACAGGCATGGAAAACCAGCATACGTTCTGTCCTGAAACTGCAGAAGCATTTATCTTTATTCTCTGTAGTCATGTTTCTTAGTTGTGCTGTTTTTATATTATTGCTACTTTTCAATAGGGTTGTCTCTATTCCTTGTTTTTCTGTTAGTCTCATCCTGTGCATCATTTTCTCTGAGCGAGCTCAGAAGCACTAGCCTGGCTTCTCTGGAACAAACAGGACTCCTGAGCACGAATGCAACATGCTATTTTCTTACAGGGTGAGTGAAACTCCAGTCAGGCTTCATTTCTGGCCGAGCTCAGCAGCTTGTGCTGACGTGCTCAGGTTGTTTCCATGCCAGAGAATGAACCTAAAGCAGAGTCCCTGTTTGAGCCTAGTGAGGCTGGTGTTAGTGCCCAGTTTCACACGTTGTGTTGGAATAGCCTGAAATACACGTCCTACAGATTAAGCCCTGAACTATGAATTTCTCTACTCGTGTACGTGCTACTGCTAAGTGTGGTGTAACTGTGTCTCTCTTTTTCCTGCTGCTAGGGATGAGGGGAGACTCCTACTTGTTTGGAATGCGAGGCCTCGGGCACTATGGCTGCATCCCAGAGGATGGAGGACAGTTCTTACTCTACTCTATAAACGGTGACAGCGATTTAAAGAGATGTTTTACAGAGGAAGATTTTCATGAAATCATTGACTTCAACGACCTCCCAAATTCTCTCTTTGCCTGTAATGTTCACCAGTCCGTGTTTGAAAGCGTGGACAGTAAGGTACAGTGCCAGTTTCCATCTTTTCAGTGTAAGAGAAGCATATGATTGGTGTGATGTTTGTGTTTGTTGCAGTTTTGAGGAACCAGCAATGCTTCTGTCTGTTGTATCCAATCCAGCTTTGTGTGGTTTTTTTTCTGAGGTGGGCAACAACATTCAAGAGCCTAAAAGCCTTTTTGCCAACTATGGTGAACTTTGTTTGGTTTTTATTTATTTATTTATTTTTTTTTTCAGTGGTTCAGGTTTGTAGAGTACTGAAATGTGGGTACGTGTCTCTATAGCAGCAGAAGTTGCAGTCGTGATGGAGGTGGCAAAGTTAAACACGTGAAGGGCATTTCCCCTTGCTGATCACACCACTGTAACAGGACACTGCTCTTCTGCATCTTCTCAAGTGCTTGAAGTTATGTCTCTTACCTGGAGCACCTAAATGAATGCTAGTGCAGCAAATCAAAGAGCACGAGAATATCTTCTGAGTTTGCAATTAGTCTGAAATAAAATAGTTGCTTTCTGTGTTTTATTTTAAGAAGAGCATGTTGTTTTCATCCAATCAGACAGAAAAAAACTCCTACATTCTGCTATATGTCTTCAGGTCTGACTTCTAAGCCTACTATGTTTCCTGAGGGAGACGTCAGCAAAGTGGAACTGATCGTGTGGGGCACTGATGTCTGATGAGGTCAGTCTGGGCAATAATCACAGGCACATCTGAGGCTATTTAAGTTTCTTGTCCAGAAAAGTCAATTTGGAGACAAGCTTGCAGCAGTGCAGCCGGGCTTCAGCTGCAGAGCAGGTTTGGTGAGACTGAAGCATGGCCAGGATGGGCAGTGGGCCTTTCTTATGGTAGGAAGATTACCACCTGAAGGGGAATCAGAGCTGGACTTTTAGGGGTCCCTGCATTCAAAGATACTGAGCGAGCTTCCTGGTGAGGCTGTGCTCGTGCCATTGCTTGCAGTGCTTTGGAGTATTTTTTCAGACCTCTTTGTTATCCGTACTGATGTCATCTTTGTTTGAGTAATATGGATGAGAAGGGAGTAATGTTCAGACAGCACAGGACTAAACAAAGTGATGTATTCATGTATTTAAAAATCCCACAGACAAACTAAACTGCAGTCTTGGAAAGTGGTGAATCTTTTCTTTTGCCTTTAAATCCTGTCGCTAATAAGCAGCTTGCATTTGTGCTGTGCTAATTTGTAGAATTTCGTAACAAACTGCTAAATAGCTTCAACTTTCCTAACGTTCGTTATGCATATTTTAGAGGTTTGGGAATGTCTTCCCGGGTGGTTCTGGCATTCAAAGGCTCTGAAAGTACATTTTGAAAGGGAGACAACAAAAGCCTGCCTAGAACTAGGGAATTTCTCTTCCTTCAGCACAGATTCTATCCCTGCTTGCTTCAAAGCTTTTCCTTTTTGAGAGCTGTGTTCCAGTGGTGGCTTAGTCAGAAAATGAAACAGGAGATTATGTAAGTGGGAGAGCAATCCCTGTGGACTTACAGGACTTAAGGATTTGTCTTAGAGCAGCTGGGCTGTGGAGGTGTATCCTGTTCTGTGCGTGGCTGTAAACTGTCACTGCCATGGATTGAACAGCTCTGCTGGCAGGTAAGCCGTTGCTCCTGGAGGGCTGTGTTTAACTGGATGGGATTACCTCCAGATTTCTCATTAAATCCAAGGCCCTGGGGAGGTTTTATTATTGCTGTAGAGCACATACTTGTGTTCCTGGTGGATTTGTACTTGTAGTCCTTTCTATTATTAACTGTTGCTGCAGGATAATGGCATGCATGACTTCAGGAAAAAAATGTTTCAACTTCAGATTCTCAATGGCAATTAATTAATACGTCTGAGAATGATCTCATCAATTACACACTGATCCAGTGTATAGAGGTATTTCTACTGCTGCAAAATCTCTTCTGAGAAGATACCGTCATCTACAGGAGGTTTGTTTTTAATCCGTCCTGCAGGAGGTGAAGATGTTGCAGTGTTATCTTTGACTTTGTGGCTGGTGGCCTACACCTGTAGGCGGGCAACGGAGATGTATTTGATTGAGAAATTGCAAGTCAGTGTCAATGGTTATTTTGGTTTGGCCTGTGAACTTGCTGCATAAACGAAGTTCATGTGTACATGCTTGTGAGTGGCTCTGGCATGCATACAGCAAGATCAGTGTGAAGAATTCACTCTGACAGCTTCTGTTCTGTAACAAGTTCTGTTACCTGATTGTCATAGGAGCTGTCAAGTTGAAGCTTTTAACGTGTATCTAAGCAAGACACTTACTTTGAAATACTCATCTTTAGAATATTTAAGGCACTTACTAATTGAAAGGCATTCAACTAGTATCAGATCTAAGGTAGGTTCTGGTTTGTGCTTGGTATAGGCTTGTAACAGCCTTGAGGAAAAACATGGCTGCACGTAGGATCAGCTGCCTCGCTTCATCTGTCCTTACCTCGTCCTGCCTCAGTCCATTCCTGCAGCAGCATCGTGTGGTTGTACAGTGCTGCTTAGCAAGTCTTCTTGCCTACCAGACAGCTAGAGGGAGCCTGAGTTTGAAGGACTCCCTCTGAAGAGGAGTTCTTGCAGTGGAGGGCTGGGTTCTTCACAGAGAAACTGCCGTGCCAGGCTTGAGTTCTCTCCTGGTTGGCACCTTCAGGTCTCAGTGGGAACAGAGGGGAAGCTGCATGGGAGGACTTCTGCTTCATTTAAACAGCAGCAGAAGAAAGTGAAAATATAGATTACTACTGGCTGTGTGTCTCTGATGCTACCATAACAGCACCTGATTGGAAATATTTCTCTACCTTTTAGACCAGTGTTTGTGACAGAACGTCTTCACTTAGTCAGTAGAATTTCACATAATTCACACTTTTTCCCCCAGAGGGTGGTGAGGCACTGGAACAGGTTGCCCAAGGAGGCTGTGGATGCCCCATCCCTGCAGGCGTTCAAGGCCAGGCTGGATGTGGCTCTGGGCAGCCTGGGCTGCTGGTTGGCGACCTGCACACAGCAGGGGTTGGAGCTGGAGGAGCGCTGAGGGCCTTTGCAACCCAGGCCATTCTCATTCTGTGAGAATGCCTTGGACAGCTGGATTGATAATAATGGGCCTTGGAGGGTCCAATCTTCAGTGCTCTAACAGCTTGCTCCAGCTAAAGGAAGGTTGTTCTGTTTATGCACACACCTAGCATGGACAGCCTGCCCCTCACAGCAAGTACTGCTATGTGTTCTTTACATTGCGGTTAGAAAATACCGTGCTGCTTGCATGGATACTGAAAACCAAAGGCCTGGAGAGTTTAATTAACAGGGCCATTGCAGAGCTGGGATCGGATTTGGCTGTGTCCCCATCATTGTGTTCTTCCTTTCTCTCCTGTGTAATGAAAGGAGCAGATTTTTGTTTGAGTGTACAGCACTGTCTTGCTTGGGTCTTAGAAGTCTGATTTTTAAGTATTTGAAGAATGAAATCACTCCTAAATCCTGGAGTTCATCATGCGCCTCTAGGAAAGAAGCTGACGTGACTCCTCATGTTGGCGAGGTGTGGCAGAACTGTGCTGTTATTTTTGGCTGATAATGTGACCGACTGAGAGGTGCTGCTCCTCTTATCTGACCAGATAGAGCTGGTGGGGTGAGGAGCCCAAGGGCACAGCCTGAGCTTGGAAATGCATTTGTTTTAGCAGCTAATTGCTGCCGGTAGCTGTAGGGCTTTCCAGATGATAACACTTCTCCTGTGCTTTGCTCATATTTTGTTTTGTGTATCTCCTTTCTGTACCTTCTGTAGTGTGACTGTGTAATTCCCCCAGGCTGATGCTGGTAAGCACTCTGCCAAAGTGAGGCCTTTTTGTCTCAGGGTGTTTTTGAGGTGCTGTAATGCCCTGGCAGGTGTTCACTCAGAGATGTCTCCACTGGAATATGTTTACATGTGAGGAAGGTGTGTTTCTTCAACTTGTTTGGAATTTGGTAGGGGGCACGAATGGGACGCAGGAGGCTCCCCTCCCATCAGAAGCAGTTCTGTACTGCACAGGTAGGTGGTGGAGCACTGGTGCAGGTACCCAGAGAGGCTGTAGAGTCTCCTCCTTGGAGATTTCCAGAAGCTGAATGGATGTGGGCCTGGGCACCCTGCTGCTATCATCAGGGATTCTTTCACCTTATGTTTTTTCACTGTTAGCTGTTGGATGACTTCTTGCTTTTAATGCAGAATGCTACGTTAGACTTCCTTTGATTTTTATTGTTTCAGGTTATTGAACCTGAGACTGGTTAAGGTTATCTCAAATGAGTGCTGGACAGTTTGTCTGAGGAGGATGCTCTGAGAGATCTCTAGCTGTATTTAGGAAGACATTTTTTCCCATTTGTTCTAGCTTTCTCACCAAGGCAAACTTTCATGCTACAGTTGTTATGTTTATAGTGCACTGAAAGACTCTGGGCAGCTCAGTGGTCTGCTGTGTTGCCTTTAACTTTACATGTTAATTCTGGAACTGAAACTTCCTACTGATGCTTTTTGACACCAAAGCATATAATTGAAATGGGTTTGTCTGTTCTGTGTGCCTTTTAAACAAAGTGGAGCCGGTGCGTCTGCTGCCATGCATGTGATGTTGCTCCCTTTTGCACAGGCTGATTCGGGAAGACACTCCAGGAGGCAGGCTGTGTTTCTGCAGGGTAAGATCTATTCCTTCTGCCTTCACTCTGAAGATCTAGATTGGGAAGTCAGGATCTTTTTGGCTGTATTACATCACTGAAGCCGCTAGGTGTTGAGTCATCATTATATTTAGGGGTGGCACACTTCTTTTTATTCTAATATTAGTATTCAAGCCTGGCCTCGGTGGAAAGTCACCCTAGCAAAGATGAAGTCACCGCTCCAAGGGTGGAATGGAATGCAGGCTTCATTCTGCCTTCTTGGTACTCTCACCGTTGCTTTCTTTTACTTTCAGTTTTTCTACCTTTTAAGGTTGTCTGCTGATGTGATAACATTATCAGAAACTGCCACTCGAAGCAGGCTGTGGCTGGTGCTGTGAAATCTCTGCCTGCTTTGTTTTGTTC